TTTATTAGACCCTGTGTTTCTCCTTAGGGATTCCTTGTCTTATTTGTGAAGAAGACGGATGGTAGTTTGAGATTGTGTATCGATTACAGGCAATTGATAAGGTTACGGTGAAGAACAAGTACCCACTGCCTCACATTGATGATCTCTTGGATCAGTTGGTTGGTGCCACAAGTTTCTCTAAGATTGATTCTGTTCAGGGTACCATCACCTGAGGGTTAGTGAAAATGATGTAGTGGAACAACTTTCAGGACTCGATATAGCCATTATGAGTTTTTGGTTATGCCATTTGGGCTGACTAATGCACCTGCAATTTTCATAGACTATATGAACTACATCTTCGGCCTTTCTTGGATCAGTTTGTGGTAGTTTTTATTGATGATATATGATCTACTCTAAAGATGAGGAGCAGCATGCCAGACACTTAGGACTGTTCTAAGGTTTTATAAGATCATAAGCTATATGCCAAGCTCAGTAAGTGTGAGTTTTTGGATGAGACAGGTTAGATTCTTGGACATATCATGTTAGCAAAATGGTATTGTAGTTGATCTATGTAAGCTTGAAGTAGTCTTGCAATGGGAGAGACCGACATCGATAACACAAGATCCGTAGTTTTCTGGGTTAGCAAGTAACTATCGGCCATTTTGTCAAGGTTTCTCTCAAATTTCTATGCCTTTGGACTAGGCTCACAAAGAAGGATAAGCCATTTATCTGGGATGATAAGTGCAAGACAGCTTTTCTTGAGTTAAAAGAAAGGTTAACGACAGCTCCAGTGTTGGTGATTCTGGATCCTCAAAAGCCTATGACGTGTATACTGATGCCTCTCATAAGGGTCTTGGTTATGTTCTAATGCAAGATGAGAGGGCAATGGCATATGCATCTCGACAACTTAGGTCACATGAGGAGAATTATCTGACGCATGATCTCGAGTTAGCTGCGGTGGTCTTTGCATTGAAGATTTGGCGTCATTATCTTTATGGAACAGAGTTCAAGGTCCCTGGTGGATCAAAAAGAGCTAAACATGAGACAGAGACATTAGATAGAGCTTTTTAAAGATTATAATTTTGAATTTAAGTATCATCCGGGAAAAGCAAATGTGGTAGCAGATGCTCTTAGTCGCAAGACCTTACATGTAGCCTATTTGATAGTTCGAGAGTATAAATTGATGGAGTCTTTAGTTGAGACTTCTCTGGGTATGACTGAGTTCTCCTTGAATGGTCTTAAGACTATGGTTATTTCCAATGAATTTTAGAAAGAGATACAAGATGCTCAGCTTCAAGATCTGATCTTGTTAAAAATAAGTCAAGACATCGAGAATGGTGAGACAATGGACTATTGGTTTAGTGATGATGGGTATGTGGTTTTCAAAGATAGGGTGTGTATTCCTAACAATGAGTCTATTTGAAAGAAATTGTTGGATGAGACGCATCATAGTAGCAACACCCTTCATCCTAGTGCTACTAAGATGTATCATGACATGCAGCGTCACTGGTGGTGGCCAGGCATGAAAAAGGATGTCACAGAATATGTTAGTAAGTGTTTGACCTATCAGAAGGTCAAGATAGAGCACCAAAAGCCATCAGGGTTGTTACAGCCTTTGGAGATTCTTAAATAGAAATGGGACAGTATTTCAATAGATTTTGTATCTGGTCTGCTAAGAACCCAGGCTAGTTTTGACTCTCTAGGTAATTGTAGATTGTTTGACTAAGTCAACACATTTCTTACCGATTAAGACCACCTATAAGGTTGATAGGTATGTTGAGATCTACATTAAGGAGATTGTGCGACTACATGGGGTACTAAGGCATATTGTTTCAAACCGTGATCCTCAATTTACATCGAATTTATGGCAAGCTATGCAAAAAGCTATGGGCATGGATCTGAAGTTCAATATGTCCTATCATCCATAAACGGATGGACAAACTAAGCGGACGATCCAAACATTAGAGGATATGTTGAGGTCATGTGCCCTAGAGCTTCAGGAAAGTTGGGATAAGTATTTGCCTCTGGCAAAGTTTGCTTATAATAATAGTTATCATGCCAATATTCAGATGGCTCCTTATTAAGCATTGTATGGAAGATGGTGTAGATCGCCTCTCTATTGGTATAAGTTGAGTGAGAGGACAATGATGGGACCGAATGTGGTAGATGAGACCACAGAGAAAATCAAATTGATCCAACAAAAGCTTCTTACAGTGTAGAGTATACAGAAAAGTTGTGCAGATAATCATCGTAAGGACCTGTCTTTTAAGGTTGGGGATCATGTGTTTCTCAAAGTTCTCCCATTGATGGGCATTGGACACTCAATTCAGGCTAAAAAGTTGTCTCCTCGATATATGGATCCTTTTGAGGTTTTGAAGAAAGTTGGGTTGGTGGCTTATCAGTTGGCATTGCCGCCTCAGTTAGCGAGTCTACACAATGTGTTCATGTGTCACAGCTGAAGAAGTACCAGCCAGACCCGTCGCATATGATAGAACCTGAGGAGGTTTGAAATTCAGGAGAATTTAACCTTTCAAACTGAACCAGATCGTATTGTGGATGCTAAGGATAATCAGCTCAGAAATAAGACAATCCGGTTGGTAAAAGTGATTTGAAAAGGGACAGCTTCGGGAGATGTAACCTGGGAGACTGAGGATCAAATGAGGAAGGAGTATCCACAGTTGTTTTCCTAGGTATGTTTCTCTCTTTGATTCATGAATTAGCTTGGATTTTGGAGACAAAATCCTTTTTAAAGGAGGGGAGAATGTAACATCCCAAAATTTTAAGACTCGGATTTATTTTAAAAAAATAAAATAAAATATCTATAATTAAATTAAAATTTAGAATAATTAATAGAGGTCAAGAGTTAGAATGTTACTAATCAAAAGTTGAGTTTTATTTTATTTTTAACTATGAAAAAAATTATCAAAATTGACCCAGGCTTTTGTGCTATAATAAAAAAAATATTAAATTTAAGGTAAAAGTTGAAAATTTCTCTAAAAACTAAGAAAATTAATTTTTTAATAATTTGAATATTCAAGCTAGCTAGAATGAGCCGGAGATATTAAGGTCAAACTTAGCTATATAATTTTTTTTAATAAATTTAGGTTTATTAGAGTTGGCTGAATAAGTGCAATCTAAATTAATTAAACCTGACTCACTTGACTTACTAGTTCTACATATACACACGTATGTTGGATTATATATATATCATATTGCACGTTGGAACAGGTCCCAAACTCGTTGAGCGAGGCAAAAATTGCAGATGATGACAAGGGGACTATTTATGTAACAAGCATCAGCCATCCATGGTATGCTGAGCAGTTTAAAGAAGATTTTAAATTATTTTTAAGATCACGTTCCAAGGAATTGGTGCCTGAAGGTGGAATGCTCCTCACATTCACTGGCAGATATGATACTTCAGAAAGAATTACTGCTCTGGGGCTCATTCGTACGATACTTAATCATATGGTTGCAGAGGTAAACTAATTAGATTTATATTTTATTGAATATAATCCCATAAATTAGTCATTTAACAATAATTAATAAAGCAAATTGGACAAAGATGACAGTAAAGATGGGTGAATTATATTATATTTTCTTTCCTATCCACATAGAGACATGTCAAGATAATGAATGAATGGTGCAGAATTTGATTGAAGAGAAGTTGGAGCTTTTCCAGGTGCCGAATTATCATGCTAGGGCTGATGAAGTTATGAAAATAATAGAAGGGTCTTTCAGTGTTAAAAGACTTGAGAGCATCAAAACAGGCTGGGACGGATCAATTCTAGATGAAGAAGACACTGACAGTTCTAAGGATGACAATGATAGAGCAAAGTCTGTGGTCAAACTCATAGAATCTATCTTTGGACCTCTTCTAAGGGCCCATTTTGGAAAGGGAATCATGGATAATTTCTTCCTTAGGCTTCAGAAAATTGGTGTTTCCAACTTTGGCTAAAATTGCTTGAGTGAGGATCACAGCTAGCGTCATGCTAGCTGGCTTATAAAACAACATCATGAAGAAATTATCTGGGTCTTCACTCCTTCAAGGATTCTTGAAAGAATTTTATATTTTGATTCATTAATCCTCGTGAGTTTTGTCTTTATATTGAACTATGTTTCTCGGCTGATATTGTTGTTCATATAAAGTTGATGTTGATAATCATCTACGTTGTTTATGTTCAAGCCAAGGTGGCTATAGTTGTTCATATAAAGTTGATCTAATTGCACTCTGAATATCTAGATATTTTTAAACCCAGTGTACGATAGATCTTTATTACATAACCATCTTAGCAATAAAATCTACTAAGCTATATCAATCACATCATTCTTTTATTATCTCTTAAACATGTGCAGCTAGTTATAATATTACAAGTATATTGTATACATAAATATAATATGTTATGGAAGGAACGTGGCTTCTTTTGGTTTAAAAAGAAGCATATTCCTCGCTTTTATATATACATATATATGTATGTATGTATTTGTATATTTTCTATCGGAGGTATTCAAAGCACAATTGGATATTAAATATAGACATATTTTTCAATGAAGATTCAAACTTTTGCTAGATCCATATTTGTGAATGAAAATTACTTCCTTTATATAAAGGTGACTGAACTCCAACAAATGAGCCACAATTTTATTTTATTTTTTTGACTAACTTCATTACTAAAGAGCTTGTACAAGCAAGTATTGCTCAAAGACTGTGTTTGGATGATAGTTGAGAGGGAAGACTAACTTGCTAGGCATGATATTGAGAATGAAGAGAGGTTGTCTTTATGATGGTGTCAAAAAGCTGATTTTCTTTTGAGCCTATCCTGGGTAAACTCGAACCACTTTTAAGATCCTCAAACCCCGAACACCTTAACCCACAATTTTCTAAACATAGTGACATGAGTATACACACATGAACCATTGGTCAGATTCTTTTTAGTGTACAGGGTCCTCATAGAGAGGCAAGTTGTAATATCCTAAAAATTTATAATCCGAGTAAGGTAAAGTAGAGTATTTGAGTTAATTATATTGTGATGTGTGGCCAGAGAGGTCTAATATGTATGTTTGATTGTGATTTTAGTTTAAATACAGGTTCGAAATAAAGTCACATCACCTGAGCATTAAAAGGTAAGAAAAACAAAAAAAAGAAGGTTTTATGCTACAAGCCGTGGTGCGCACCGCCTTTGCCACAGCACGTAGCCTGTGCTTCTATTTATAAAATTCAAAATGTCTAAATTCATACATAAATAAATAAAATATCTAAAATTTATAAAATTATTTTGTTAGAATTAAAATTTTTTGTAGAGATTTATTTTAATTTGTTTTTTAATCTTTTTTACTTTTTTTGAGTTTAGAAATATTTAATATGTCTGATTTTAAACATAATAAAATTTTAATTATTAAAAATATATTAATTATTCAATACTTATGTTGTCTTTTATTTTAAAATTTTGCCTGAATCAAGACAGATTAAATTCAAACATAATTAACATTTATAACAATTTATTTATAAATTATTTTTTATTATGCCATAAGTTTTTTTATTTTTTAAATTAGTATTTTTTGCATAAAACGTATAAGCATTTATGGCGACGGATCCCAAAGGACCAGTCGCCACATCTCTTTGCTAAGGGTTTTAATAAAAGAAGAATGACAATTAAGGACCTGCTAAGAACATTAATCCCAATTACGGACTGTGAAATTTTAAAATCCTAGTTAAGGACCATGGTCCTTAATTGTGATTAAAAAAATATAATTTGTGAGGTGAGATTCATTATTGCCACTTGAAAATTCACTAACCCAACTTAAGAAAATTTGTAACGTATATTGTGAAAGCATAAAACCCCACTTGAAAATGAAATGTTTAACAAAAAACGCCACTTGAAAATTCACTAACTAAACTTGAAAAAATTTCTAACATATATTGTAAAAACATGAAACTTCACTTGAAAATCGATTGTTTAATAAAAAACACCAATTTGGATAAGTCACTTTTTATTAATGATTCTCAAGTGGGGTTTCATTTTTTTATAATATACGTTAGGAATTTTTTTAAATATAATTAGTGAATTCTCACTTTTTGTTAAACATTCCATTTTCAAATAGGGTTTCATATTTTTACAATATACATTAGTAATTTTCTTAAGTTAGATTAGTGAATTCCCAAGTCGCGATAGTAAATCCCACCTTTTAAATTACATTTTTTTTTTGTCACAATTAAAGACAATGATCCTTAACTTTAATTTCAAAATTTCACGATCTGTAATTAAAATTAATATTCTTAACAGACCCTTAATTGTCATTCTCCCTTTAATAAACCCCCAGCTAACACCTTTGGTGACAAATTCCAATGGACCTGTGGTCATATCCCTACGTTTATTCATTTAAAAATTAATTTCAATGCATTAAAATAAAATTAATTAATAATCTAATTTTAATAATTTATTAAATTAAATTCATTTAATATTTTTATTTTAAGTAAATTAATTTGTCTTAAATATTACTTAATTAATTAAAAATAATTAAGAATATAATTAATAATTTAATTTATTATAATTATTTTCTAAATTAATTACATTCACGTAATAAACATTTAAGTACTAATTTATTTTAACTAATTAATTAAATTAAATTATTTAATTTTTTTAATATCTCTCATAAGCATTTATGGTAATTGTTTATCTTAGAACTGTCTCCATAAATGATATACTTTAAATATTATACATAAGCCACTTGCTCAAACATTACCAAAGTTTTTTGACAAAACAGTGACAAATATGTTGTTAAAGTTATATTTAATACTAGTAAAAAACTTGTTAGCTATTTATAAATTTTGTGGAATCTTTGAGTATTTTAAATAGTTGTGGGATTTTCCCAAAAATCTAAAAAGAAACTTGCATGATCACGTACTTTTCCAGACCAAACGAAATACTGGAGATTGCATGCCACATCATACAATCCTACTGAGAAAACATACTGAGATGTCTCCTATTGAAGCCTACACATAAGTGCCCCAATATGGAGAGGAGAATTAAAAATTTAGAGTGGTGGCCTTGGCATCAAGAATTTAAAGAAACAAAACAGGACTTTTATTTTTAAACTTTGTTGGAAAGTCTTGTGAAATAAGAATACCTTATGGATTAGAGTGTTGAAATCAAAATGAGTGTGGTTATGGAAGTGTGCCTGAGGTGAAAAGAAACAATCTAGCTCCTTATTCACTTGGAGAAGCATAGTTAAATGTTGGGGCAAGTTCATTGAAGCAATTGGGAGGCATATGAGAAATGGCCAAATCATGAAGTTCTAGAATGACAAATGGATGTATATGGGGGTCCCACTCGCTCATCTTGCTTTCAACAACTCTTATGATGCAAATGAGCGTGTTGCTAGCAATGTTACTCCTGAAGGGAGATGGGATGTAAGAAGGATGGAAATCTAGCTCCCTAACCACGTTACACAAAAAATTGCTTGCACTCCTATTTCGAGAGTTAAGAGTGGAGAGGACATATTCACTTAAAGACCATCGAATGATGGCAATTTTAATATCCTAAGAAATTGTTTTTAAAAAGTTTGAGCTCAAATTGTACTTTAAAACAAATTGTAAGAGGTAACGGAAGCATAAATACTAAATAACTCTTAAAAACAATAAAAGAGCAATATGGAAAAAATACTAGAATTCGCCTCATCCGCCGTGGCATAGGCCTTTTCTGTCGCTGTGGATGGCACCTCTCTATTCATTGTGCCATGGTGCGAATATCATGTACTACAACACATACCTACTATCATGACAACACTCCGAACCACCTTTTAAAGCGTGCTGTTTTGCCATTCGATGTCTGATTTAAGCAGTTCAAGTGTCCACACGAAGCTTTTTGAGCCTCCTAACTAATGGCATTGGTCTTACAATTAAATAATCAACCATTAAAATATTGGACACCCAAACCCCAAATGGTTCATTTTCAAACCATAACACACTTAAGAGTATCCAAAACACATAACCAAGTGCCATTAACTCCGAAACCACTTTGAATAAGTCAAATGAATTGCACACATCATAATAGGCCAATCATATCACAATAATAACCACCCACCTACAAAATGACAATCAAATCCTCCATTTTCACAATGAATTCAAAGGAACAACTTATTCCTCAATATCATACTACTATCATATTCATACATACAACAGTACCATAACATCACTTGTACTAGTATTTTAACCTTTCACAATTAGTTAATCACAAGAACATCATTTAGGTTGAGATAAGCACTCATTCCACCAATTTCTCATACAAGTGATTCAAAACATGCTTAAAATCTTAAGTTGGCATAAACTTCATGACATATTCATTACAAAACCAGAACATAAATGGGAAGAGCTACACAAATGAAGCTCTTAACTCTTCATTCCTTCCCCTTACCCTTGTCGAAACCCTCACTTATAAAATATAACCACGAGATGAGATAAACATCTTAATTATAGAATAATTCACTACTATCAATTAACATGCACAACTATAAGGGAGTAAAACTAATATATACAAAAACATGCATTTATCATAACCCACATAATCTTTTCAATCATCATGATTCTTTTCTACTCTAGCATAATCATTCTACTATCCAAACCTCCATTTCACCCCTATTGAAACCATAGGCTCTTGGACCAAGTGTACATGGCCCGAGCTCGCCTTCAATGGTATGATCACCCGGCCAAAGGTGTCCTATCCCACTTCCAGACTATGATTTTCCCCTATCACACATGAATTGGGTCATTACTCTAACACTACATCATTGATGCTAAAAAGCATCAATCTCCAATGCTGTATACCACATGGATATTAAAAAAATAATCTCCAACACTGTACCTTACTAGGCACTGAGATACATGCCATATAAATTTTCACTACTCCTTCCTATGGATGAACTCCCACCTCCTATAATGATCATGCTCCCGCTTATCATACATGCCACATATTTGTATCCAAATTATACTTAACTCATATAAGAGACTCAAATTTTCATAGATTCAAAAATCATTTCAAATGCACAAAAACCTTATTTTGCAATATGCAATGCTTTCAAATCACATGTAGAAAATTTACATATTCACTCACAAACAGTTTAATCACTTTAATTAAATAGTGTAAATTATTCCGTTACCTCAACCTTTTTGTTACAAAAAGATTATTGTGATCTAATGTTTACTCCACACATTCCACACCCACAACATCACTTGAGCAATACTTAATCTACACAATTAAGTAATAATTATCAATTATTACTCTAATTAAATAATTATTACTCTAATTAAATCGAGTTTACTAGATTTTTTGTACCCATTATATCCAAAATCCTCATTTAACAACATTAACCCTTCTAACATGCTCCAACAATCCTATTTAACATTCAAACACATTAATATCATCAACCATTTACTCAAATTGTTCCAAAACTCTCAAATTATACTTAAGGTTCGTTCAAAACTTCAACAGAAATTCCAAATCCATATAAAACCCATAAATCTAGGGTTAGAGGCTTGATTTAACACCCCAAAACCTTAACTAAGTCAATAAGTTTGGTCAACACCCAAAATAACTGAAATCACAGCCACCATTGCCCCAAAAGTCAAAAGTTCATATAAAAATGGAGAGGAAAATGTGAAAAAAGCTTACCCAAGGTGTAGAAAGCCAATGTACCTCCAAGATGATGTAGGATCAAGCCCTGGTAACCCCAAGACCTCCCTTCATCGCTCCCCTCGATCCCTCTCTTTCTGTTTGCTAAAATCAGACTCATTTCATGTTTAATAAATGCCCAAAATTGGCCATGCATCGCGACACGTGGCACAGCAAATGCCACATGCCATTTGGCCCCCCCATCTTATATAACAACTTGAATTTTAACTTTGAAAATATCCTTAATGATGTTTTGAAAGACTAATGTATCTAGATCATTGGACAGCCTTAAAAGAAGGCTAGATCAAAGTTTGCACGGGACGTGGCATAAAAAAATGCCCAAAACAAGTCTGGATTTCTTTGAACCATGCACCGTGATTGACAAGCCAATGCACCGCAGCACACATACAAAATTTGTGTTTATCAGCTCCCAAAATCAAACAAAAAACAAGAAATGGGAGAGAGAATTCGCTAGGAGACAATAGTAGATAACTAATAGGTGCTAAGGCTCGACCTTTAGGTTACTTTAAAAGTAATTGGAGTAGGTAAGCTTCCTCCACTTCTCCTTCTCCCTATATTTGAACTTTTTGATGATTTGAGTATTATATGGCTTTGATTTTGTATTTTCTTGAGTAATGTTTGATATCACACCTCAAAAATTTGACGTGACTGGCACAATATATGAGCATAAACACATATCTCTTAAACCTTGATCAAAGAAAAACTCTAATGTAATATATTAATGCATTAGAAATGGAAATAAAAATCATTGCAACATTTTTTGTAGCAAAATAATCCCAAATTTTCTGTAAAAATTTTCGGCATCACCTCCCCTATAATTAAGACCTCCCAAAATTTCTACAACCACCATTTAGATAACCAAATTAGTAATACGGAGATTTGCTCCGTCACAACAGCCAAACAACATAGATTACATATCATGATCCTATCTATAATTATCATCGAGCACCTAAAAACATAATCTCAAAATATTGCATAATTAAATATTTACATAAAAAAGGATATTCTCAAAAGGTCTTCTAGTCAATGCAACAATGAGTCTTTCAATGATCCTCAAGAAGTGCAAGTTGGTTATATTGTCTGAGATTAAAAATATTTTTTCAGTGAATAACATCACAATAATAAAATTAAAATATTTAGGATAAATAAATTCATCAAGTAAATTAGTGCACAACTTAAAAAAGAACATCAATAAAGTATAATAATTGAATTTGAAATTAAGAGATTCTATATAACTTTAAAAAAATTACCGAACCAATAAATTTGCAATGACAAAACCTTAAAACTTGACCTTGTAACATAAAATAAATTAAGTAAATAAATAAAACCAATAACATTTAATAATTAAAATCAATAAAGTGTATATTCATAGATCAATCAAAAGCTAAACTTTTGAGGACTTTGCAGAACAAATAACAAACGTGAACACACAGTCCATAAGGGTAAATAAACAAACGTGACTTGTGCCATGAAAACAAATGTAAACACACAGTCCACGAGAGTAATACTAACCAAACTCAGCCAAAGCCGCAAAAACAAACATGAACACACAATCCACAAGGGTAATGATAACCAAATGCAACTTAAAGTCGCGAAATCAAATGCAAGTGCAATACCCATGAATAACAAACATGAGTGCAACACTCACGAAATTCAAACTAGCTAGTCATAACCATGGTGCACCAAGGACTTACAGAACCAATGTTCTGCTTACAGTCCTCTCAAAATCAATTTTCAAACATGCGAAAAAATAAACATTATCAAAATAAAATTTTCTATTATCAATATCAAACTCAAATGAAATCCTTTTTTTCACAAAAAAATTAAATAAATAACTCAACCCTTTGCAATATAAAAATTTTAACTGATTCTAGACTTGCCTTTGTCAATAAAAGATTCTTAAAGCTAGTAAAACTTTTCATCAACCTTCAAGATATATTTTATAATAAAAATACGCATTGAAATATCATAACTTTAATATTCTTCACCACACAAATTACAATTTCACAAGCTAAAGCAATAGAAGTAACAAAATATTGGACATTTGAAATGGTACATGAAATCTATTTATTTTTTTAAAAATAGTACTTAAGTAAAAAAGAATTGTGGATTAGTTAATTTAGAATGTTATCTACTTAACTGACAATTGCAAGCTCCCAAAATACATCTTACCCCTAACTGGCCCTCTTGCAGCAATGTGTGATATTTAAATTCCTAGGGCCCAAATAATATCATAATCACTTTCTTTTACATGTCATATCCCAAATCTTTAATCCAAAATAACTTAAGAAAAATAAAATGGATAAATCTTAACTTCAACCTCTCCCAACCAAACTTTGCACCAAACATTCCATAGATACTCCAAAAACTAATACATAGATAGCAATTTGATACTTGAATTACCATCAAATACCTTTTTCCAAAAATCTAAAATTATATTAATTATCTAACAATACAGTCATTACATATATTTTGCTAATATAAATCAAATTTCTCCAAGTAGACATTTTAATAGATTATTTGCAGGTTAAATCAAATTTGTTCCATCATTAATAGGCCCATAATCTACTTAAATAATTCAAAGTTTCTCCAAGTACCATCATCATTTATATCTCAAATTTCCCATTTGATTTCAGCCATCCTTAATAACCCAATTGGAAAAATGATTTCTTCTTATAAGTATTTTAACAAACATTTTGTGTGCACCAATTTCAAAACCATTCAATCAAGGTCCTTAATCTCTAAGTCTTATGCCTAGCAATTTCCAACTATGACTATTTGAATTTGCCGTGCTTCCAAACATAATTCCCTATCAAGATTCAATTTAAGTTCAAAGAAAACCAATTCTAAACTTATCTTCTTCCCCTTTCGGTAGCAGAAATTCTTAAGCGTAAATGCCTATCAAACATCTTATCAAACACCTTATGTGCATTCAAAATTAACCCATCCAACAACCATCTTACTCTTTAAATTTCTAACCCAACAATTTCCAAACATATATACAAATTTACTATCCTTCTGAAACTCATTCCTGCTTCAAAAATCAATTTAAATACCATGAAACAGAACCTAACCAATCATTCTTCTCATATAGCAACCGAAAAGCTTGAGGAGTTGAAGTATAATTACCTATCCAAGGTGAGCTTTCAAATCCTCAATTTTTAGCTTACTCAAAATCCCATTCTCTATCTCTTACTCACATAGAGAGGTTGGAACGAAAAGGAGAAGAAAGAAAGAAAGAAAGAAAGAAAGAAAAAGGGAAAAAAAACAAAAAGAGAGAGAGAGAGAGAGACTCAAACATGCACACAACTCGCAGTAGGGAAAAACAAGATAAAACCAACGCTTCAACACTCATACCAGAACAAGACGAAGTGGAACAGGGTAAAAACTCAGATGATATAATATGGGATGGAGAAAAGGAAACAAGAATCTGTGGCTGCCTCCAGCAACAGCAACCTCGGCTCCTCTGTGCACACCCTCACCGGCGACGAGAAGAGGAAGGACAGTGATGAGAGAGGACGAATGGAGAGTGAAGGTCTAAAACTGGTTCAATCTTGCTCTCTCTCTCTCTCTCTCTCTCTCTCTGTGTTACAGGGACACGCACGAAAATGGAGAGGAAATGGAGAAGGTCCGATGGAACTGGTACTCCTAATAGTGGTGGTCGGAAATTTCTCACTCACCCATTCAAAATACACCGGTCGCAGAAGGGATGAGGATTTGCAGAGTGAGGTTTAGGCTCTCTCTCTCCTCTCTCTCTCTCTCTCTCTCATTTGCTCCAGAACATAGTCGAAGAAAGTGGGGAAACTTTATCTATAAATAAAAAGGAAAAAAGACAAACCGACATATTTCTATATAGCTATATATATTGTCTTTGGCCTGCGTGTGTTTTGCTTCTTTTTCTTTTTGGTTTTTTTTGGGCATTTAAGTAATGTTTCCAATGCTGAGTCAAAAGTAAAATTCCTCAACTATCTATCACCACAGAGATTTGAACGCAAATAGGTTGCAAGCAAAGTTTCCATAAAACCACCAATCCTCTTGATAAATTTATTTTAAAATTAATACAAATATTCTTAAAATAATTTGTCATAAATTTTAATTATTATTAAAACTTTGGGAGTTATTACAACTGAACTCATTACCTTAGTTAAGGCTTTGGACAGTTAAATCAAGCATCTAAACTTATATTTACGGATTTCACAAAGATTTGGAGTTATTGGTTAGGGTTTGGACAAATCCTAGGTAGAAATTAAATGATTAAGAGCAATATGAGTAATATAATGATATTTTTTATCTGTTAGGATATTAAATAGAGTTAATGTCGTGTGTTGGAAGGATTGTTGAAGCTAAATTGAGGTTTTTACATAATGGGTACCCCTAGTTGTATCATAAAATGGGGTGATTAGTGTAAGGATTTGATAATTAAGGGTTTAATTGTGTATATTAACCTTTGATTGAGCATTGTGATACTAGTAGATGCATGTGAAGTCGTTGGTTGACAACGATAACCTTTTTAGTTACAAAAGGGTTGAGATAGCTGAATTGTCTAATCTCCCTTTTTGTGTGTTTGGATAGTAGTGTGTAAATTTTAAAGTCAATGTTTTGGTTTGGTATTAATATAGTAATATTATAAAATTATGATTGTGAAGTTATGTGAAGTAGAATGAAAACTTATTTTAATGCTTTTGTATTTGGAAAGCTAAATGTTATTATTATGTATATCTACTTGTGAAATTTCATGGTTTATGTGAAAATGAGAAATTATGATAATTTATATGTTATGACTATGTGTTGGATGTATTATACATGTTTGACATGATCATTGTGAGAAAGTGGGAGTTCACCCTAGTGTTTGTTGTCAAGACATTATTTGGAAATCCATATGGTATATTGGCACCGTGGAGGCCCGAGTGCTCAGTATTATATTGTTCGTAAGTCCCAATACTACAAGTGATAGATTGCGCATCGATACTCCTAGTATTTGTAGACAGAGAGAATCTTTGATCCATAGTAGGTGAAGGCACTCTTGGCCGGGGCTGCCTCCTAGTAATGGTGTGCTTGGACTAGTCTAGTCAGATGAATGTGGTCTTATTGAATTGTCAGCCCACAGATTCAATCAAAAGATATAAGGAGGGTATAAGGTGGTGTGTTGATCATATATATTATACTATAACCATATGTATAGATTTATAAGACATATTATATGATTTACTATGCCACTTCACATATGCACAAATTGTTCTCACACACGAGTAGTTAATAAATTTATTGAAGCTATTAGAACAGGATCTACTTTTTGGAGAATATGAGTTGAAGCAATAACAAGAATATTTCAAAATCGCAGGAAATCTTTTGATAACACGAATTCCTATTTCTCAATGATATCTTGCAATCAAGACAATTGGCTGAATCCCGCGAAACCATTTTATAGAAGTTCATTGAATTTTTCCATTTTTCGAGGTCTCGAAGGGGCGTGGAAACACATAAGAACTCTTGAATTGAAATGAAAAAATAGATATAACTCCAGTTACTTCTTTATCTTTTGAGTTGTTCTGCCGGATCGGTCCCTCAAGACCTTTGGTCTACTATCTGGTTATTGAGTCCTCAACTCGCCCTATGGTTACATTTTACAAATGAAGGTTCTGATATAGGTAAGGGAAAGGAAAGTACAATCGAGCATCGAGGGGACTAGCTTGAAGTTGTATAGTCATTTCATTTATTTTGGGTTTATAACGAATATTGTATGCATATGCCAATTTAAGACATATATAGCCTTGTGATACACTTGCATGAATTATGTTGTGAACTATGGGTATCTTGACCTAGATTTGTTATATCTGTTTTGTAATAGCTATAAGAGGTCGAGATACTAGTGCAAGTATTAATTTTGTATTGATTTATGTGATCGATTAGCCATTGGATTGTTTATGTGAAATTGTTACCCCTATTGAAATTTATGTTGAAATTGGGGTTTTGGTGGCCAATTCTTGTTTGGGTTGTTATTATTGTGATTTGAATGCTTGAACAGGTTGTTTGTGATCTATTTGAGTTGGTCCAAGTAATTCCACGATTATTGGCACTTGGTTTGGGGGGTTTGGGCATCTTGGTTGTAATTTCTAAAAGAAAATGAGTCATTTTGGGTTCGGGCATCTAAATCTCATTTGGCTTAGTGTTTAGGTGTGGGACCGAGATCAATAGCTCAGTGGCTTTAAGAACTACATATGGATGGTTGAATCGATTGAATCAGACATTGGACGGTGAAATGGCGCGCTCCAAAAGTTGGCCTGGAGAGCTCATGTGGTTTGCTGTCATGATAGAGCACGCGCCCTGCGACGCGAGGCATAGTGAGGGGCGTTCCCCTCTGTGAAGTCTGCTGCGGTGGATGGTGCACCGCATCGTGGCGCACTGTGCTTATGTAGCTAAAAATATTTATTACTTATTATTTTTGTTACATGATGAATTTCTTATGCTTCTGTTGGCTTATTTAATTGTTTTTAAACTAAATTTATGGAGAAAATTTTATCCAGTCTTACTGGCAATGATCCTTGAATTGTTGATTTGCACTGTTTCTTTCATAATTCTATTCTACCCTTACTTTAATTTCTTAGTTAGGATATAAATTTAAATAGAAGGTGATTTTTCAAATTAGTTAATAATCTTCCGGAGTATTTTCCGGAAGAGTGCTTCACAAGGTAAGCGTTTGGAACGCTTTTAAATTTAACTCCCCCCCCCCCCACGCTTCGGAGCCTTATTTCCTCAAAAAATAATTTATTATTATTAAATTTATAAAATATTATTAATTTTTTGGAATAATATAATTAGTAACTATATTATTAAAAACAATTTAGCAAATATACTTTATAATTTTTATTTTGTATTATACTTTTTTCAGGGCAATTAATATTTGCTTTTAACTTTTTTATTTGTATTATGCATTTTTTTCAGACAACTGCGTGCAAACAATGAATAATGAAGTTCATATTGATATTTAAGTTTTTATATTCTGTGCATAAGGTGGCAATGGTTAATTTTTATTTTTTTATAAATTTAATATTTATTATTCAATATTTATTATTACTAATTATTTGCTATTTTATACAGTTGGGAGAAATGGTGCGCCACATAGAAGATCTATAGATATTTTAAATATTTTGATGTGCGGCATCAGTAAGCTCCATAATTCAGCAATTATAGCAATCATATCTATTCTAGACGATTATTGTACAATATAATTTGATATGTTTATCTTAATTGACATGTGAGAGTATTTCTTAAAATAATAAAATTGATGTAATTAAATTATATAAAGGAGGATATATATATATATATATATTCCCTCCCTTAAAAAATATAAGGTTTTTTAAGGAGTTAGATGTTAAAAAATGTAAGGCATTTTAGTCTTTCGAATTGTAATCATTGTTTTTTAAGTGCCTCCATTGATGAATGACTTTATATTATTATAAGGTGTTTAATAGAGGTAAATATAAAAGATAATGTTAATTGAAAATAAGTAACTACTTTATTGAGGGGTGAGATTCGTTTAAAATGTCTTATATTTTTAAATAAAAGGCGTATATATTTTTAGTTTATATTTACTTATTTTTTAATAAGAAGCATTCTTTTAAAAAAAATAAAGTAGGGATATGTGATAAAAAAAATTATGGTAAATAAAAGTTTCAAATTGAAAACTAGAACAATTAATAACATGCCTAGCCCCCTCCCTCCATCCATTATCAGGACTTAGCACCTTTATTCATTCATACTCATGACTTGTTGAGTTCTCTCGTCCTTTTTCCATAAATTCTCCTTCCCATTTCTCTTTTTATCCCTTCGCATGGATAAGGAATTAGTTTGTTGGAGAAACTCAAATGAATTAAAAATTTTTTAAATCAATTGAATGAAGGAATACCATCAATGTATAGGGTTACCGGAAACTTGTTCCGCATAAAAGTTGCAACATTTATTTGAAAGGAAGACATTCAAAAGGAATAAGGTTAATTCATGATGATAAGTGTAAAAAGATAATGTGAAGTAATAAAATGAAACTCAATTACTTGTATTTCATTATAGTTATTTTAAATTCCTTCTCATGTACGAAATAAATATGTAATTATTTGGTTCTAATTAGTTTCTAAAGAAGAATGTTATATATTCAATGCATTGAAATTAAAGCCTTTTCTAGCAATATACACAATGCATTTTATTTCATCTAGACACCAGGTTAGCCTTTTGGAAGCCATGGAAAATGGGGTTTTTGGCTCTCAATTCCAATTTTTTTTAAAGGGTTAAAGTACGAATTTATCGTTGAAGTTTTTCTTGAAACGCATTTGGTATTCTAAAATATTTAATAGTGCAAATGTGCCCTGACGTTTTCCAAAATGGCACAAATATACCTTGTCGTGAATGAGGCATCAGTTTGACCATTAAGTGAGGCATTTTGACCTTGAATATTTTAAGTGACAACCACATTACTTGCCACACAATCCTTGCCATCTAGTTTCATTTGCTCTTGTTTTTGGGAAAATGACAATTAAGGACCTTCGAAGGTTATTAATTTCAAATTGGTGTCCATAAAATATTGAAATTTCAATTAAGGATCATAAATTTAAAAAAAAAGTAAATTGCATTAAATGTCCATTAGTAAAAATCAAACCCGCATGCAAATGCCCTAACACGCACGTAGATCAAGATGATGAAAATGAGGATAAAAGAGCGGAAAAAGAAATTATAAAACAAAACTCTAAG